GCATCGGAATTCTTTATAAAGCAAGAAATATATTAAGTAAACATCAGTTAACACAATTATATTATTCATATATTCATTGTCATATAAACTATGCAAATAGTATATGGGGAAGCACCCATAAGACAAAGCTTAAATCTCTTTACCTTTGTCAGAGACACGCATTTCGCGTAATAAATTTTAAAATCGGTTTTCTCACACAAAACAACTTTTTAAAGAAATGAATATTTTGAATGTGTACCAACTAAATGCTTTTAATATTTTGTGCTTTATGTTTAAATGTAGAGAAAATCTGTCACCAACTGTATTTAAAAAGTTTATAATTTGAAACCGAAAAACAAATATAATCTTCGCACTAATAACAATCTTATTACCCTCTTTTGCCATCAAAAAAAAGACCAGTTTTTTGTTACTTATGGAGGACTTTTTGTTACTTATGGAGGACTTTTTGTTACTTATGGAAGACTTTTTGTTACTTATGGAGGACTTTTTGTTACTTATGGAGGACTTTTTGTTACTTATGGAGGACTTTTTGTTACTTATGGAGGACCTTATCTCTGGAACAAAATAGTAATATCAAATTTTGATTTTTCTATAAAAATGGCTTATGCTTCATTTAAACAGAAACTTAAAAAGGTTATCCTTTTATTAGAAAATATTCTCAACTATTTTTAACTATTTTTGTATATTGTTTTATTTTAGAATAATAATTACTAAGTTTTTTTAATAAAAAGATATATTATTTTATTACGAACAGTTTATTTTTAATTAAAGTTATATTGAAAAAGTATAAATGTATTGTATTTTTATAAGGCTTCATGATAAGATCCTCATGATCTTCTAGAAGTCCTGCCGTTGTTGCTGCCAAATGTAAATGTAAATATATATTCTCTTATGGTTATTGAAATTATAGGGTAATGCCGGGCAAAATGAGACAGCGGGGCAATATGAGACAGTTCGCGTTTATCATGATGCCAGCCCTACAAATTATTATTTGCATGATTTTTAAAAGTGCAGTTGTATTCAAAAACTATTTTGTGTCAAGAAAAATATAATGTCACTTTAAAAAAAAAAGTTGAGTAAAAGGGGAATCATTTCATCCCTCGGCTTCGCAAAAATTACAAATTTTTAAGTGCAGTAAACTATAAATAAAATACAATGAATGTTACGTGTGCTTTAAATACATAAGTTCAATATATGCTTGTATGGTTTTATTAGTTCTTGTAGTGGGTATATATATATATATATATATATATATATATATATATATATATATATATATATATATATATATAAATATATATATATATATATATATATATATATATATATATATATATATATATATATATATATATATATATATATATATATATATATGTATATATAGGAGAGAAGTCAATGTTCAAAATGCACAACCTGGGCTCATTCGGACTGTTTTTTGTTTTAAAATACTGGTCAAGCAATGTGTGATTTATGTGACTAGTGACAGTTTGATTATAGCTGTAATATATTATAAAATGTATTTCTTGCTAATCCTCTTAAAGATCTGTTTTGTTTAACTTTATTTATTTAAATTACTAAAAAAAAAAATCTGTCTCATTTTGCCCCGGTATGCGGGGCAAAATCAGACAGGACAGTTGCTGTCAATAAATGATCTCTGGTGACCAAACCACTCCAGTTTTGCAACTCATATTTAGTAAGCTTCAAGTAGGATGGTAGAAGAATTGAAAAATATCAAGTTATTTTTTCAAAAGTTGTTAGACAAAATGAGACACTTAAGCACTAATTATTAGATAAATTAGATAAATTAGTGCTTAAGTGTCTCATTTTGCCCCTCGTTACGCTACATATATACATATAATTGTAACTATATTATCTGGTTATTGTAACTATTTTTAAACGGCGAAATAAATCTAAATCTAATTAAAAAATTTTTGTGGGCGTGCGTAGTATAAGTTTTAATTTGACTGAAGAAAAACTATGCATACTCACGCGATCATTTTTTCTTTCTCTATCCCATTTCCGTTGAAAAACGTATGAGGGGAAACTTATCTTTATATGTAAAAATTTCAAACAAAGATAAATTGTAAGTGAAAAAAGAATTTTAAATACATTTAACAAACGATTAATAGTAATAATATTGTCTTCTTAATTAAAAAAGATTTCTTTCTTTTTTTGATCCTTTTATTTTGAAATTGTGTCAACATTTTAAAGTCTTCAGAGAGTATTTTTACCATACAAAAATGTGCTCAAATGATATTTCTATACTTGATCAATCAACTTTTAAAATTTGTTTAAAATGTTTAAAAATTGAAATTTGATATGTCTACTATTTTTTTACTCAAAACATATTATATTCTATATTTACGTCTTCATGTTAATCTTATTTATTAAAAAAAAAGTCTCTTTAACACTGCGGATGATGAAATTTTCTTAGTTGCTGGTAATGGTTATGCTGGTAAATAGTTGCTGGAAATTTTCTTAGTTGCTTAGTTGCTGGTCTCACTATTACATTTTTACACTTAAAGCAGTGAAAAAAATACTGAAACCAGAGAAAGATGGTGCAGTTGATTCAACAACAATGTATAATGGAGAAGAAGCATTAGCTTTAATCATGGACTCCATGCTTAGTAAAACGGATTACCAAACAATACGCATTAGAGCAGTTTTTTAATAGAAACAAATTATTTATTTAGCCAGTTGTTTTACAGAGCTTTATGGCCCCTTCCCAGTAAGCACAAACCATTTTTAAAACGTTTAAAAAACGTTAAAAAACGTTTTCATAGGTTTTTTAAACGTTTTAAAAACGTTCTGTGCTTACTGGGTTGACCATACCACAAACAGATTGTTTAAAATACTAAATGAATCTATAAAGGATTCTGCAAAGTTGATTCCTGTCTATATATAAAGTAAGATTTGAAGGGTCAACAAAAAAGAACAAAAGAAGAGATAAGTATCAGTTTGGTAGAGATAAGGATCTCAGTTTTGAGTAAGATTTTGGTACAAAATCTTATTCAAAACTGAGTTTTAAACAAAAAATTTCAGTGAACAGGTAATATTAGGAGAAAGTAACTTTAACTGGTCATTTGACTTTTTTCTCTAGAGACTCAAAAAAACGTGCATAAACTGAAGACCATACTTTAACTTAAATTCAGTATTCAAGAAAAGATTTAACAAATAACATCCGAATTGTTAAACAAAGTTTAAAAAACGCATTAAAAAGAGTATGGCTAAGCAAAGCCAAAATGAACAGAACTTAAAAGATTTTCTTGATTATCCTCTAAAAAAAATTTGAATGCAAAGAATTATAAAGTACTCAAATCCTGTCGTTCTTTTTACGCCACCCTGTACGTTTTAATATATTATAAAAAACTGCTCTTTTGTGTAATATACTTTAAAAGAAACATCTTAGCAAGTTAAAAATCATTGCAACTGCATATAAGTGTAAAAACTGAACTTTTACCGTATTTTGTGGTTAAAGCCTTTACAGTAAATCCGATTTATAAATCGTTTTGTAGCTAAACATATTTATATGTTGTATTATATTTTATAAAATTAGAAAATTTCAATACAGCAATTTATATAAGTTGCATTGGTTTATTGTATTTTGCGTTAATTAAAATATACCAATAGCAACCTTAAATAATCTTTCACTAAGATTAATATGATTAGAAAAATAATTTATTGCGTTTAAAATACGGAATATGTTGATATTTAAAACAATAAATCGTAACCTTTGGAAATCATTTTTTATTTAAAAAGCTTTATATTTTCTAATTTTTTTATGCAAATGCTAAATGCGCTGATCTAACGTTTGATCATTTTTCAATACATCTGTTCCTTAACCTATTTTGATTTCATAAAAAACATTTTATCTTTTTATTAAAAGATAACGATAAACACCTAATTTTAATAACATTTCAATGTTGTTAGTTACTGCAGCTTCAAATGTTCTAGATGTTTTTGCTTTTAAATAATTCATATTATTAGTCGCAACAATAAATTTAATCTTTTAACAAAAGGGTAAGATTTTTTCTGCATTTTTAATTTTTTTTTATATATAATTTGTGTGCAATATTATATTTAATCTTCTGATGAATAGTTAAGACTTTCAGCCTCCTTTTTTAACTAATGAAAACAACACATTAACTTAAAAATAAAAATAGATTTATGATTATTCATCTCTTATATTTGTCCTTCTTAGTTATAAAAGTATTTTATATCTAATAGATTAAACAAACTTGATGAATGAAAATTATAAATTAAAAATATTGAAAAAAATTCAATTAAAACACTAAGCAAAAAAAAAAAAAAAAAAAAAAAAAAAAACCAATACTTTCACGCATATAAATTTACAAAAATTATATACATTTTCATCCAAAATAACTAATCGATACTCAAATCATTCATAATTATTTATTATCTAAGGTTATAAGGTATTTTATTATCAATTGGGACAGCATCGATCTCCTCCAGTCACCAATAATCAAAACATTTTCAATAAAAGTTGTGAAATAAAACTGATAACAAATAGCTTCAACTTTCTTTGATTGATGATAAGTTTCTTAATAATCATGATTGTTGGATAAATATGATATTTATCAAAATCTGATTTAAAGATGAAATTGAAAAGTAGCTTTAACTTTCCTCTAAAGTTTGTAATAAAAGTTTATCGCGTCTAGCTTACGAAAAATTCCGTTCTTTTTGTTTGTTGGTTTTAAACACTGTGGTTTGCTATGCATCGTAAAGTTGTTGTGATTTTTTACAAAGGTTTATAATGCTAGCTTGAGAACATAGCTCATTTTATAAAACAATAAATCTATATATAATATATTTTTTTATTATTATTTTTAACTATAACTAGTAACTAGTCGTTCCACATAACTTCTATTGTTAAATTAAATTCTTTAGCCAAAGATCTTAAGTCTTTTGTTTGAAGTCTTTTTTTTTCAACAAAACTATTGCCTAATATATAGAAGTTACATACCATAACAAATTAATTTATATTGCACCATATCGAGTTAATTAATGATCAGTGCTTTGTTTTTAAAAGTCAAAAAACCTAAGGACCTACAATGGTATGAGTTTTTGTTATTTTTTAGCTAAGATATGGAAACAAGCAAAAAAAAAATAGCTGATGCAAAATTTAATTTAAGAAGAGAGGAAATTCCACCAGAATTTCATGATCCGTTTATCATCAGAGGATATCGAAAACCATATTTATCATTTAAAGATTGCCTAAAGAGTTCGGTTGTGTTTTCGTGCAATGAGTCCTTTAATATTTTGTCTCATTTCTTCTCTTTTCTATTCTTTATAACAATATTTATTTCATACTTCAAAACAGAATTGGATATAACTGATGTTAAAACATGGCCTTTAGCGCTCAACGTTATTGGAAATATAGGGTTTAGTTTTATGAGTACAACAGCACATACTTTTAACTCGATGTCAATTGAAGCAAGACACAAATGTTTTTACCTAGACTACGCAGCAATATCAATTTATACGTACTGTTCGGGACAAGCTACATTCTACTATTCAAGAGCTTTATTTTCAGAAAAAGAATTTTTTAAAAACTCATATTATTTTAATTTTGGAGCAATGTTTATTTCGATTATGTCAACCTTATTAAATTGTTTATCAAGAAGAAAATGGCATTCTTCAAAATACGTTATACGAACAATGGCATACGTAATAGCTTATGTATGGAACTGTGTTCCATACGCTTATCGATTAATGATATGTAACAATCCTTTAGATTGCAACAAAAGTGGATTATTTTTATCTCTGCTAAGCGCACTGACCTTATTAGGAGCAGGAGTATTAAATATTACAAAGTTTCCTGAACGTTTTTATCCTGGTAAGTTTGACTGTTGTGGGCAAAGTCATAACTTAATGCATGTTTTAGTAACATTGGGTTGCTTTTTTCAATTAGAGTTTGCTAAGCACGAAATGTTGCGTGGAATTTCACAAGGATTTAACTACGAAAGTTCTTTACACCTGACAATATTTACCGTTTTTGTTAGCTTACTAATAGCAGCAGTGGTTCCTGCCAATGATGACAAAGATATAAACTATAAAAATAAATAACTAAACATTAATTACTTTTTGTTAAACAAAAATTGATCAATTAATGTTAGTTTAAAGCAATAAAAAATAGAATAAATAAATAAAAGAAAACTAATAATAGATAAAATATAGTGTTGTAAATGAAATATGGTATAAGATGTAAAGCAAGACGTCAGTAGAATACTTTGTTAGTGTTGTTTCTAAAACATAAATTATTTATGGAAATAAATAAAAAATATGTGTTATAGAGAATGATGAAACTGATAACAGTAAAAATTTGCAAAAAATCATTATTGTTTATTTTCTCATTACTTGAATGCTAGCTGTACATACTTCATAGATTCAAATTAGTTTAACATTTGACTTTGCGAGTTTTGCGAATAGAACATAAGCTAAGATACTGTTATTCAATAAATTGTTCTCCTTAGGATAAATGCTACTTCTGCAGTTATCTTTTTAAGCCAAATATCACTTAATTTAAGATTAAGTTAGATTAAAGCATGTGCATCAATTATATCAACGAAATGAGGAAGTCACTTAAGGCATTTATTTTATTTGAATTAAAAATGTATACTTAATCACATTTGAAATGTTCAGGTATTATTTGTTTTTAGATTTTTTTTAAAGTTTTTAAATTATCGTACATTATAATTTGTTTGTCAAATTTTTGTTTTTTTTATGCTAATCATTTTTTTTTTTTTTTTGAGTTAAATCATATGAGATTAGAATTAGATCATTTATTATAGATGCTTCTTTTGCTATCTGATTTTTTCACGAAACAACATAGAGTAAAAGTACCGCAAACCGGTTATTCTTCACAAAAAGCTAAATAACTTTTTTAATATTGAGAATTTGTAGGATTTTTTTTTCTGGAATATAGTAGTTTATTAAAGCAGTTCTGCTGTGTAAAGAAAAAAAAAAAAAAGTTAAATTTCAAGTTTCTATGGAAAATAAGATTTTATTTTTTTTAAAAGTGCTTTTCGAAAAAATGTCCCTAAAAGCGGACAGTTCCATATTATATAAAAATAACATAGATAAATTGAAAAATTCCATATTTTTATTTTTAAAATATACACATAATAATAATACAAGCAGGAAAAACTAGAAAAAAATAAATATAAAAACATAAGCAAGCTGGAGCTTAAAAAAATATTTAAAAAATTATAACCTAGGTTCTGTAACTTTCGTGCAAAAGAATTCTTCGCCTATTATATATCTTTTTGGGAGACAAAGTTCACAAAGCCACGAACTGCAACTAAATTTTTCACAAGTTTTCCATAAAACTTGCATCTTTGGCGTTTCATTTTCGAAAACGTTTGGGCACTTTTTGCATTTTTTGTACTTTTTTTAGGCTTTCTTGGCAGGATATTCTACATCTGCTGCTGCAATTTTAACATATGTTCGTTTTAACAGTTTTGCGTCTTCTTCTCTTAACTTATTTAACCGTGCTTCTTCTATAAAAGCTTAACCAGCCACTGTTCTTACATTTCTGGGTTTATTTGCAGGATGCTTATAAGTGTTTTGAAATTGAAATTGCTTCAAGAGAGCTCTTTCAAGACTAATTTTTACACGATTCGCCAATTCTTCTTGAGAAGTCAAATTTAAAGTTGAAATTGAAGTTGGAGTTGCAGGCGGAATTAAGGTCTGTGTTTATTGAGCAGTATAAGGCAAAGAACTTGGGCTGCGTGGTGATTTTGTAACTGCTGATGATGTTATTAAGACATTATTAAAAGTTTGACAAATTTGTAATTTTGATTTGTCAATGTTGTCTTCATTTAATGGAAAAAGCCCAGTGTTTTCAAAACCAGCAATAATTTGAGTACGAGTGTAAACTTTGTTGCTTCTATATAACTGTGCAAGGAGACTTGGGAAAATTTTTTTAGACAAATTGCTAAAACCATTTTTAGCATAAAAATTTCTTAAAATATCACGCCAAACATCTTTAAGATGGCAAAATACACCATCATCAAAAGACTGCAGAATGTGAGATGAATGGGCGGGAATGCAAGTTAGTGTTATATTTTTTCTTTACACTTTAAGGCTACATTTAATAACATGTGTGTGCTGTGGCCATTAAAAAGTAAAATATGTTGACCACCAATATTTTGAATGTGAGAAATAAACATTTCATTAAGCCACTGAAAAAATTGTGTACTTTCCATCCAACCAGATCGTGATGTTGTGTAAAGTGTATTTAGTGGACCTTTGATTTGTAAACAACAAAAGGCGGTAGAAGGAATCCGTCAGCATTAACACAATTGAGAACAGTATAGTTTATTTTTTCTTTATCTCCAGTTAATACTAGTGAACTCTTTGCACCTCTTCTGATAATTACTTTCGCATCGCTTTTGTCACCATTGAAACTAGTTTCATCACAATTCCACAAATGCATGGCTTTACTAAAACCTATTTTTGTTAAATCAAAATGTTTTTTCAAAAAATTAAAATAACGGGCTATAATTTCTGGTGTGCATGACCCTGCTCTCAAGGATGCAATGTTTGTAGCTGTTCTTTTGCTTAGTTCTGAGTGCCACCGGCTTATAAACCCTTTGTACCATTTGCGTTCCATTTTTGAACAAACACGTTTCATCAATTAAATAGTCTCTCACTAAACTTTGAACCTGATCTATTCGTCTACCAAAACCCCAATCGCCAAGTATCTGAAGAAGGTGAACTAAGGTTAACTCGGTAAAAGGGTTCAATTTTGTTGTTTTGCCACTACCAACTACTAAGTTTTATTTAATTTTCGGTCGGATAAAGTTGATTTTGGTATGCAGTCGAATTTGAGCTGCGCTTCTTAAGCTTAACTCGCCATTCTCAATCTTATTCAATGCGTTTTTAATTGTCTTCTCACTGTAAGGTTTCTCATTTGTTTTATTTTTTACCATTTTAAGTTTAGTAAATTCAATTCAGTTACAGATTTTTGAAATTGAAGGAACAAAGCTAATTTTTGAAATTAGCAGAAAATTTCCAACAAAATAGCTTCCTTTGTTTTTAAATTGCCTTTTTAAATCTTTCATGTTAAGAAACTAATTTCCAAGAAAAAGTTTGATTTTTAGGGTTAGGTTTTGTTTGAACTTAAATATCTTATTAAAGCAATCATAAAATTATCTTTTTTTAAAAAATTTATATTTTTCTACATTGTAAAAATTAAAAACTTTTTAAAATTTTTCAAATATCTTTATTTTTAGTGAAGAGATTTAGTTTTTTCGATAAGAGTCCGCTTTTACGCACTGTCCGGTTTGTGGTAGTTTTACTTTATATAATTGTCATCATATGTAGTTACATGTAATTGAATTTGTTCCTTAGTTTAACGTTATCGTCTTTAAAGTTAAGCCTATCATAATATTAAAGCAATCAAATGATTTTTAGAGTTTAATTGTTTATTTTTCTTTCTAATTTAGCAGTTAGTTTATCTATATTATCTTTTTCTAAAACGATAAATTAAAGATACGGATCTAAATAATCATATTTAACGGTAGTAATTTATTTATACCGTATTTATACGTAGTTTATACCGCGTTTTATAACCATTTTAGTTAGTAAATGTAAACATTAATGAAACCTCCTAAAGTTATTGATAGCGTCAATATGAATAAAATTATTTGATTTTAAACTCTATAGGAATAATACCTTTAAAAAGTCTATTTCGTAGAAAAATTTTGAAGTCGTACAAAATTTTAAAATGTAAACTTACCATAATTAAAATTAAACTTTAAAATGTAAATTTTTATAGAACTAAAATTTATAGAATTTTGAGCTATGTTTACATTTTTTAAAAATAAAAAATGTAAATATAGCTTATAATTTGTAATAAAGTAGTTTGTCCACATTAGTGCTCAACTTTGATTTAAAAAAAAGGTCTGTAAGAAGTGTATTATATTAGAAGTTCTTTTTATAAAGTGAATAACTTCTGAGATGGACAAAATAAATTACGAATATAGTTGGCTATAGTATTTAAGTACCTGAAAGTACCAGTGCCTGAAACCTCAGATCAACCTCTACCACCCTTTATCAATCGTACAACCGCTTCAATCTCCTACGTTATCTTTAAATATAACTCAAATAAATAAATGTAAATAAATAATAAATGTTTACAATGTATGATCAAATGTATCAATGTATGTATCAAATGTATCAAATAATAAATGTATTAAATGTATCAAATGTAATCAAATGTATCAAATGTAAACAAATAAACTGGAGGTGTCAATATGAGCCCTTAGTGCTTAAAGCATGCCATTTTTCAGAAATTGTTGGATCTAGGTGTAGTTCCAAAGGCGTGGTTTTTGACAAACGTAACGCCACAGTTCATAAAAAAGCTCCAGACTCAATTCAGCAAACTACAGGCCAATCTCTATCACAATTGTACCATAAATAGTAAAAGACAAGATCATGCAGCACCTTGTAAGTACAAATTTGTTGCCATTTGTCAACACAGCTTTGTTGGACTTTTGGACCTACAGCGTTTCTCTTAAGTTTCTTGTAGACTTGCTCTTTTCTAAATTTTCCAAAACTTTAGATTAAGACTCTGACAGAAAACTACAGCAAAAAATTTAATCCTACGGTACAGCAAAAAATTGAATCAAAGGTAACATTATTAACTGGAATAATGCTTTTCTTTTAAATACATCATAACGCGTTCTTCTTGGTACTATTTTATTCAACTTGGAACAAGTTATCAGAGCGTTCTTCAAGTTTCAGTGCTAGATCTTACACCATCATAATTTACGTCGGTAGTAAAGCATTTTTAAATAGTACGCAAACGACACTTAAATCCTAAGCGTTGTCAAAACCACTGAAGACAAAGCTCGTATACAAGCCAATAAGAATAGCATCAGCACTTAAAATCAAACTTGGTTGATAAAGCTCAACGTCAAAATATGCAAGGTTATTTACATCAACAAATACAACGTTTCTTGACACGTTCACTCAATGAACGAGCACGACGCTATTGGCAAAGTCGCCAGAATAGAACTCGAGTCAACAACATCCGAAAAAAACTAAGGCATTCTAATCTCCAACAACTTAAAGCACAAGAATCAAAAAAATAATTGCCCATCCAAAAATACAAAATTGAGAGCAGCATTGACTCAGTTAGCTGGCATATTGCGCCATGTATATATATATATATATATATATATATATATATATATATATATATATATATATATATATATAATAAACAAACACAAAAATACATTTATTTTCATATATAGAGACAGCCTGCCTGAATGTAATGCTAACCAACATAGCAATACTTGGTACATTTTATTAACTGCATAGATTT